GATGTGAAAACTTGGGTTTTCAAAATTATAGTGTATATGCATAATTGGTTGCTGTTATTTTGAACTTTTGTAAGGGGTGCAAGAATTTATCAGAAGCGTTCTAGGGCTGCAGGGTATAGAAAAGGTTGGGAACCGCTGAACTAGAGTGAAGGTAGATTATAGGAAGAGAAAGTACAAGTTGTGTATGAAAATAGATGATAAAAAATCTTAACAAAATGAATGGAAATGGGTATAAAGAAGTAGAAAAAGAAAAATGCTTCAAACAGAATGAAAAAAAATATATTTTAAAAGTTCCACAGTAGAAGTGGAATAATAAAGTGAAAGAAGCTAGAGGTGAGAAAAATGCATAGAGAGTTAAAAGGAATTAAGTATTTTGAGATAAAATTGAAGTATTTAAGAGATTTGTGTGGAAATAATATTGATATATTAAAAACGGAATTGAAATAAATGCTTACTGTCCAAGGGGAGGAAAGGGAGTAAGGCTGCTAGGTGTGAATGGCGGACCTGTACAAATCCTCTTTCTTATGGAATAGTTTCACAACTTGTTTAGTGAGCATGTAAAGACGGCATCTAGGAGAATGCCATTATTTTTCTCCTATACAAAGAGAATGGTGGTAAGAATTAATGCAAATACTATAGGCGATTAATTGTTAAGTCTGCTAGGGAAGATGTTTGATAAAATTCTGATTGAAGGTGACAGTCATAATGAATGACAGTGAGCAAAATTCAGGAAGTACAGTGTAATTATATCAATTGAACATTAATGATTTTGAGAAAAATGATTGTACTTTAGAAAAATGTATAATAAAGTGAATTATAGGATATTTTATATAAAGTTTGATTGCTAAATGGAGTATTAATAAAGAACGCTGGCATATGATGAAAGTGAAGTATTTGTGAGAATAAACTGAATGCTTAATACAGTCCTCACTTAATGACTATAATTGGGATCAGCAGCAACTCTGTTGCTAAGCAATGTAATCATAAAGTCCAACATCCCATGACTACACTGGCTTACAAAAACAGTTGTGGCAGTTTTGGTACATGTAATTAAATGAATCCTGCAGTCATTAGGCACAGGATCATATGATTGTCACTTACAACCTCTTGCCGGCTTTCCCATTGACTTTGCTTGTCGGAAGCCATCAGTGAAGATCGCTGATGGTGATCATGTGATTGCTGAATGCTGCAATCATTACAATTGCAAGCTGGTTGTTAACTGAGGACTAACTAAAAATGGTAGACATGAGCAAAGAGCAAGACATGGATGCTTGAGGTAGAGTTGGGGATATGTTGGTTAGGGACATGGATGTATTTTTGAATGCAAATGCTACCTGGCGGAGAACCTGAGTGCTTTCAGCAAAATGTTAGATTGATTAAAAATATGGAGTGGTTAGATAGATAGATAGATAGACAGACAGACAGACAGACAGACAGACAGACAGACAGACAGACAGACAGACAGACAGACAGACTGTAGAACACTGTAGATAAGTTTATGTGCCTTGATATATTTACAAAAGAGGGGAAAAGGATGCAGAAATTTTAAGAGGTGCAAATATAGAAAACTAGTGTCCGTTATATTATGACATATATTGTAAGTGTTCATTAAAAAAAGAAAATGGTTTGTATAAGAGTGTTTCCTACTGATTTGTTTAATGGAAGTTATTTGGTATGCCAGGGGAACCATAAAATTATAATAACAGTGGAAATGGAGTACATAAGAAGTGTATGTTATAAACAAGTAATAGGATCAAGAATGAATGGAGGGTGCATTAATGTGGAATACATAACTAGTGACTTGTGACAGGAAAAGTGAGTTAATTTTATAGTCTGAGTGAAAATCAAATATATGACAGAAAAATGAATGAGTTAAGAGGAAAGCTGAGAAAGTTGAACCTTTAAAAAAAGAGAAGAACAAAAAGGAATTTCTAAAATAGTACATAAATGTGGAAGCAAAAATGTTTATAAGACTAGAGAGAGATAGGGAAATGTTTATTGAATGGGATTTGATTCAGTAAATTTAGTGAACTGGTTTTGATATATGTCCTGTTTATTTATACAAATTTAGAAGCTGCCTGACTCCCTATAATTGTCTGGCTTACAATTAAAACAAGAAAAATACAAAGCGGGGGGGAAGAAAACCTAAGAAGTCTTAATACAAATATACAGGTAATCCTCATTTAGTGACTGCCTTGTTTAGTGAGCATTTCCAGTTATTCGGATGATGAAAAAATAACTTTACAACCAATTCTTATATTTATGACTTTTGCCGGTCTGTAAAGCAAAGGAAAGTTGAAATAATATCATAAGCACAGTTGTGTTCATTTAGTAACTGCTTCACATAATAGCCGAGTTGCTGGTCTCAATTGTGGTAGCTAAACGAAGACTATCTGTAAAAACAAACAAACAAACAAACAAAAAATTCATTCAACAGGGACTTATTAATCAACCTGGAAAAACAGCCAGGTCTTCAGTGGATTCTTGAAAGTCATCATGTTGGGAGCCATCTGGATCTCTTGGGGATATCATTCCTGAGGGCAGGACAAAGAAGGCATGTTTCTGGCTTTCACTAGGTGACGCTACAGTACTTAATTACGGAGACCTGCAGCCACTCTTCTAGATCTAATCTGATGCTCAGAAAGAACAGACAGGTAATCCCTCAAAAAATCAAACCCTGTATCATGAAGACCTTCATAGATGCCAACAAACCTGAATTGCACCAGGAAACTACCCCCCCCCACCAGATAGCCAGTTCAGCTTGTGGAGCAGTGGAGTCACATGGATATAGCAAGGCATGCGTAATGTTGCCTATGCTGCTGCCCTCTGACCTAACCACCAGTGTCTGAGGGGTTATTAAAGGCAGCTCCATGTAGCCACAGCTGTCACCTGCTGTTTGAGCGGGAGTTATGAATACAACTAGCTTCACAGTAATTTGAATAAGGAATTGCAACCCCACCCAAGATCAAAGATGGAAAATTCTCAGACCTAGGGAGCCCAAATGTCCACAGCCACTCAGCCTTGTCAGGATTGAGCCTGAATCTGTGCCTTCCAATCTAGACTTGTAGAAGACTTTAACAGAATCACTTTGTGCAAGATTGGGTGTAATGAGTAAAAGAAATTACATTGAGGAATAGGAAAAAGAGTTGCAACCAAGACGAGTCAGATAAAATAAATCGGAGCTTGGGCCAGANTATATATATATATATATATATATATATATATATATATATATATATATATATATATATATATATATATATACATACATACACACACATACACACATATCATTGCTAACTTCAACAGCTGACAGTATTTATTTATTTTGTATGGCATATATTTGTCAGAGAGATCTACACTTTATAGAGTAGTTCTGACAGCCTAAGTGCTAGTTTGTTTGATTTCATGCCTGCATGTTTATCATGTGCTCCATAAGAGGGAACTATCTAGCAGTGTTTAGGCTGATGACATCTTCCAGGCCTCTTCCGCCAATCTTGCTTTGTATCCAGGCAAATCCAACACTGGCTCCTGTTCTCATGCAGCTAGACCACGGGTCGGCAACCTGTGGCTCCGGAGCTGCATGTGGCTCTTTGAGCCTTCTCCTGCGGCTCCCAGCCTCCTCTGCCATTTGCAGAGAGAGAGAGAGGCACTTGCGCTTCCCTTCTCTCTCTCTCTCTCTCTCTCTCTCTCTCTCTCTCTCTCTCTCTCTCTCTCTCTCTCTCTCTCTCTCTCTCTCTCTCTGTGTGTGTGTGTGTATGTAAAGAAGAGTGGCCTCACGCTGTTCTGACGAGCTTATTGAGTGGGGCTCCTCCCTTTGCTGCGTCTCTGCAGGAAGCAGGAAGGGCAGGAGAGAGCCAGCCCAATAATATCTGTCAGCTTGTTGGAGAAGAGCCTTGAAGCCAGCTTGCCAGGTTAGCAGAAAATTGGAGAGAGAGGGAGAAAGAGAAAGAGAGAGACAGAGAGAAAGGGAGAGAGAGGAAAGAGAGAGAGGGAGAGAGGAAAGAGAAAGAGAGAGGGAGAAGAAAGAGAGGGAGAAGAAAGAGAGAGGGAGAGGAAAGAGAGAGAGGGAGAGAGAGAGAACTCATGCACAGCAGTCTCTATTTCTTTTTAATTAAACTCTTCAATCAAGCTCCCACACACACACGCATGCGCACACAAGTTTTGTGGCTCCCAGTGTTTTCTTTTCTCTGGGAAACAGGTCAAAGTGGCTCTTTGAGTGTTTAAGGTTGCAGATCCCTGAGCTAGACTTTCCCACTGGAGTGATACCCATTTATCTATTCTCAATAATGCTTGATTGGGCAGGGCAGGAACTAGAGGCAAGTGATGAAAACTCACCCCATCCTACAGTGCTACCAGAGCTCAAGTCATTGGAGTGTCAACTATTTCTGATTGGCAGATCCAGCGCCTTTGAGCCGTTGTATCACCAGTAACACTAGGTAACAGTATGATATGTTTTACATATGAATCATTACTATTGAGCCATTGCTGGCATATCCTAGATAGGAATGGAATGTGAGATTTCTCTTTGGTTTAAAGCGACCAATGATTTAGAGGTTTGAGTAGATTTTTGCAATACTGTATAAGTGTGGATATCCAGTTGTAACTTTGGCATTTATGCTGTTAGATTATTTGCTCTTTCCAGTCTCTCACATCTCTTTCCACCTAAGTTGCTATAACATATGACTATGCTCACTAACTCTGATGAACAATTACTGCCTGAAATGTTAAAAATAAAAGTTGTATTATTTAGTAGTTTAAAGACATTTCTCATTTCTGTTGCTCTTTTTAAGAAACATAAGTTAGAATTTACTGCAACAACTGTGTTAATTACTTATATCTATTACTTGTCAGCTAAGTGAAACATACCTAATAGTATTTTTACTGAAGAATTGAATATAGGCTATATCAAGCCTGCTGATAAAAATATTTTTGTATTGTTTGTTTCAAAATTAGTACATCTAGTAACGAACTTTTCTCTCTCTCTTTTCATTTTTCAGAGCTATATATTTTTAAGTATTCTAAACATCTATTTACAATAAGGAGAGAAATATAGCTGTACTTGAATGAGGAACCTGTTGCTTCAGTAGCCTTTTTCTTCAAGAGTGGGTCTTTGAATGAGGATGACAATGGAAGAGATGAGGAATGAAGCAGAGACCACTTCTATGGTTTCCATGCCTCTCTATGCTGTTATGTATCCTGTCTTTAATGAGGTAATAAGTTCAGTTTTATTTTCTTTGCATTATAGTACTTGGGAAACAAAGTTTTATTTAACTCAGCTACTATCTTGCTTATATTAATATACTCATTTTCCTTATGGGTTCTGCTTCTTTTCTGTCCATATTTCTTGACCATGACAGACTGCTTGGTTTGTTGGCATTCAATTCCTTAATTCTGAGTATTATTTTCTACGTTTATAAACTTCCAAGATGTATTCCAGCATTATATAAGAGTCTGGAATGTAGACTGCATTGCTTAATTAACATTCCAGATTAGGCAGATGTATTATATAAGATGGAAAGGCTTATTTTTTTTTGCAGTTACTTGGTTTTGCAGAAATGTTTTCTATTAAACATTACAGAATCTGTTTAAATGAGAAATAATAAGTGTATTTAGGTTTTGAACAAATGAAAATCAGATGGTTTTTCTTTGGTAATTTATCGAGAAAACTATATTAATAGAAATGGTGTTATTCTGGCACATTTATTTTGAGGGATAATCTTGATCAGACAGTCTAAAATTAAAAAAAATAAAGACTATATTTTTGCCTTGTGGTTTTCTCCCTCTATAAGAGAGTTATTCACGTTTAATATTTTCTTTTTCTTGACACCTTTATCAGTAGTACATGGGCAGATTTCATAGAGCATGATTTGTTATACAAACATTTATCTGTTAAATGTTGTATCTATTCATATGTTCCAGATGTGTGGATTTCATCTACCCAGAATTTTCAAGAATAGTCATGCTGGTTGGGAATTGTAGTCCACACATCCTGAGTCACAAGTTGTGGAAAGCTGTTATGGCAGAATATAATGGCAAAACTTTTTCAGATTTAAGACCATTTCACAGATTCATTTTATTGGATATGATTATTTCTGCTTGTAAGAGGCTAGCAGTATTCTTGTCTGAAGGACACAGCTCCAGTGTGCCTGAGCTGCAAAAATCTTATCCAGATTAACAAAAATCCTTAGAAATATTATCAGTAATGATAATGTACTTTAACCTCTTATTTATTTTGATATAACTGTTTATTCCTATTTTTTGCAGCTAGAACGAGTAAATCTATCAGCAGCTCAAACATTGAGAGCAGCTTTTATTAAGGTGAAAATAATATATATTTACTTATATAACACCAAAATATTAATATTTTATATTAAGATAAAAACATTAAAATATTGTAAAATTCTGCAAAGTAGATTTAGTTACTAATTCTAACTTAAAATAACATTAACTGTTTGTCTGCTCTAATTAAAAAGTGTGTAGTCAGTTTATTTATATACCTTATTTTCCAAAAATAGATATACTCAGAGTGGATAATAGCTTAATATTAAATTTAAAGAATATGCTGCAATTAACTCATTGGTTATGATTCATTTATGTTTATGAAATTTCAATGGATATAAGTCATGGAAATAGGTAAGCTAACAATACTAACTTTAATATTATATTTTGCTAAAGATCTTCATTGAAATTTCACATTAAGAGACCTAACACTTGGCATCCATGTTCATTTAAATTAAGATCAGGTAACAGAAAGAATTAGTAAAATATTATGAAGCCTTTTAAACATCAGAAAGATTATCCTTTTCATCTAAGTCCTCTGTACTGATATCCTCATGATACCTCTCTTCTTGGCAGTGAAGGTCTAGGAAAGAAACAGTGCAAAAAGTCCCCCCCCCACCCCCGGACATTTATCTTCAGTAAAAGAGTGCTGAAGAGATCACAAAGCTCCTTCATAGATGCTCTCAAACACGGACTTATCAAAAGCTTGATGTTGAGGATGGTGACGTGGCTTTTGAAGCTCAATATTACAAGAAGGGGACATTTAAAGGCTTTTCACCTTAATGTTTATGCTTCAGTGATGCAAGAGTCATCGATTACTTTTTTCCCCATTAGATGACTTGAGTTTCCTGTGATCAGCCAACTCATATTGCTAGATAGTATCTTGATATTCTTTACCAAGTCAGAAGTATGTTAGTTGAAAGTAGAATTTCTCTAATTTACAATTGAGATGATTAAAATCATTTAAATTTGTCTTCTAAAGTTATCCTAAGAAAATCTTGGCCCATAGTTTATTGTTATTTATTGTGTGATTGAATTTTGGTACAGGCATTCCCTGGATTAAGAATGTCCGACTTAACAGACAACTTATACTTCTGAACAAGCTTCCTATTACAAAAAATGGCAGACAGCATTCTCCTTCCTCGAGCTGATGAACCACTGAATCTCTATGGACCATTGAAGCTACACAATTTTAATATACAGTCTGTTTTCAGGAGTTTATAAAAACATTGCGTGGCTTCAGAAATTTGTCAGATCAAGGAAGGAGAATGCCATCGACCATTTTTAGTAATTGGCAATTTGTTTGTAAGTATGAGTTCCGACTTAGATACAAATTCATTTTAAAGGAAAATTGAAGAATGGAACTTGTTCTTAATCTGGGGACTGCCTATATTTCACAATCTTTTTAAGCGTGAAAAATGAGTACTCTAAAACACTCTGAGATGTTTCTTAAAAAAGAAATAGGGAATTCAGGAAAAATGAGGTTTTGCAGCCTTTTGGGATAATGTAATGTTTGATATTTGCTGTTTATTATTTATCCATGTTATCTATCTAACTTATGGGTTTTTAAAAATAATTCTGATGCAGCTTGAAAAAATAAGTGAAAACAGTGAAGGTTACTGCCTTTCTTAATTTTATGTAGCTCATGTCATAAGGGAATAAAGACAAATGTATATAAGGCTGTCTATTTTTACAGGTAGTCCTTGAATTATGTGCATTCATCCCACAACTGTTCAAATTTACAATGTTGCTAAAGGGATGGTAGTTGTGACTGCCCCTTGAAATTCTAGCCATTGTATAACCACCACAGTCATGGGATCAAAATTTGGATGCTTGGCAACCGACTCACATTTACAACTGATCACAGCGTCCCATAGTCATATTCTCCTGCTCTGTTCAAACTGTTTCTGCTTCAGCTCCCCCTATGTGCCTGTTCATCACCCCCATCAGTGCCCTTTTGGCTGTCCTACATTCCACCACCCATCCCCGCTGCTGCAGCCACAAGCTGACCTGGGTAAGGTTGCAGCCCCGGGATGTGCCTGGTGAACGAAGCAGGGAGGTGGAGTTTTCTCTGCCAAAGAGAGTTTGCTGGCTCCAATCAAGGAGGAGCCTGGAGAAGCAAGAGGACCTCACTTAATGGCCATACGGTCCTCATCTAATGACCTCAAGGGTTGCCAGAACCCCCATTGCTTAGCAGTGCGATTGTGTGACATTTTTCTTAACCACTTTGCTTAGCAATTGCATTTCTGGTCCCAGTTAGGATTGTAACCTGAGGGCTATCTATTTCAGTTATTGTGAAAGGTAGGAGAAAAGGGAATGATGCACAGAAATAAGCACTGCAAAAAATGAAAGAAAAGACTAATTACAGGTGAAAATACTGATTTAGTTCAAGAAATACGGTCTTTGGAGGAAAAGATGGCAGTGCAAAATCAGTGTTTATGAAAAGCCAGTTCTACTCAGGTGTCTTTTAAAAATTCATATTGTAGCTTTCTTGGAAGCTGTTCTCCGTTTTCAATATGTCAGAATAACTCTGAAATCTCTTCTTTGAAATACAGGCAGAAAGGGAAAACCCAGGTCTCACACAAGATATTATCATAAAAATTTTGGAAAAGAAAAGCATTGAAGTTAATTTTACCGAATCTCTTTTGCGCATGGCAGCGGATGATGTAGAAGGTATTTCCTGCTAATGGCCTTTTGCTCATGAGGTTTAGATGATTTTAATTTTAAAAACATGTTTGTTATTTCTGTTTTGTTTATAAACACAGCTGAATTTCCAGATTGTCACTTCAGTTTTTTATATTTACAATTAGATATTGTAAATTATATATTCTTGGTGATACTGTGTTTTCCCGAAAATAAGACCAGCTCTTATTTATTTTTGCCTCCAAAAGAGGCACCAGGTCTTATTTTCGGGATAGGCCTTACCTCACCTCCGGCACCAACAGCCCCACCCAGCCGGTCCACTTCTTCTGGGGCCGAAGTTCTGCAGCTGCATTCAGGCCTGCATTTTGCAGTCAGGCCTTTCTAGAAGGCTAAGCAGCCAAGTACCGAGCTATGGATTCAATCCATAACTTGGTGCTCGGCTGCTGAGGTCTTGCAGAACCAAGCTATAGATTTAATCCATAGCTCCGTTCTTGGCTGCACAGGCCTTCCAGAAAGCCCTGTGACTGAGAAATGCAGGCCTGGCTGCAGAAGAGGCTTCAGAAGAAGAAGTGGGCCGGCAAGGAGAGGCCTGGCTACAAGGTAAGTGGGTGCTAGGCGAGTGGGGCAGCTTCCCATCCCCACCCCTGCCCTAGCTTGATTTTTAGGTGTGTGCCTTGCCCCAAAACTAGGGCTTATTTTTGGGATAGGGCTTATATTAGGCCCACCTCCAAAAATCAAGCTAGGGCTTATTGTTGGTGTAGGCCTTACTTCCGGGGAAACACGGTATTTATTTTGATAATTCTTGTAGCTTGGTAGCTCTATGCTAGTCTTACTTGAGAGAGAGGGGGGGGAAGACATGACATTCTAACTTTTTAAAAAGGCCGTAGAGTAGATGACAGCATGGGGTAAGAGTTAAAGAGGATGAATACAAAAAAAAATTGGGTGGAGGAAAATTCTGGGACTGGAACAAAATGTATGTTTAGCCAATTTCCTATAGTTCCCAGCACTGTCTTCTTTACTCAGAAATAAGATCCAACTTTCAGATTTTTAAGAAAGCTTTAGAAAGAAAAAAAAGGGTTTTAGGTTCAATTTAGGAGATGTAAAGTACAATAAATACATCTCATGCATTAGCTTTCATGACTCTGAAATGACTCTCATCTATCTGGAGTACTTGTCATAACTTGTGCTTTAATAAGGTTACTCTAAATAGTTCAGTTTTGGCTGACATTATATTGAATTACATCATTAGAAATCAATAGTCTTTTCCTTACAAATAGAGAGTTGGGATTAATTTAGTGTTCTTATTTGTTGCTTGTTTTAATTTTAGCATGGTAAAAGATGTTGCCAACCCTTTTAAGTTTAATTTATAACTTACTTAGAAAAGAAATCCATTTATATTTTCTTCCTCCTTCCCCCCCCCCCAGAGTACATGATTGAAAGGCCAGAGCCTGAATTCCAAGACCTCAATGAAAAGGCACGAGCACTTAAACAGATTCTCAGCAAGATTCCAGATGAGATCAATGACAGAGTGAGGTTTCTTCAGACAATCAAGTAAATACTAATCAAACTATTCTAAAGTATGACTTCTTCGACCAGCTGTGGCTTTATATTTATAGAAGAATTATATTTTTGGCTTGTACTGTAATTCTGGGTATTACTGATATTTTATAAAATTGCTTGTTTTCTTTTCCCGGGAGTTTTTGCTTCAAAATGAATGCTTGCTTACTGTTGAATGGCCAAGCTGTGGGTTGGTTTTAGCTGCTGGAGTAATAACCATGGATATTACAGCTATCGCAAATCTGTCAGTGATCCCTATTCTGTGCCCTTTGTGGTTAAATCCTTTTATTTCTAACAATATAATCCTATGGCAATAATGCTGCATCAGACTTGAAATCTTATAAGTCTTACTGGTGAGTTGCCCCTCTTTTATACGTTGCACTTTCCAGTCTTCTCTCACCTAAAAATTGCAGTGCTTTTGGGTCTTATTCCCTGTTGCTCAGAAATTTTTAACATGCTGTTGATATTAAGTTGCCTATGCTTTGGGGGAGCTTTTTTTGTTCCTTAGTTTAGAGATGGAGGTCATCTATTTTAAAATATTTTCCCTATCTGCAGCTCTGTACTTGTCTTAATGACTACTTATGGAGGTTTTTCAAATATCCAATTTGAATTAGTAATTTGAATTGATAGATCTCTTAGTACACATAATGTATCCAAAATCGCCATCAAAAAGATGTGTGGGTCTTCTTTCACATTTTGGATTGTATCACTTTTGATTGTTTATTGAGTTTTCAAAACCAAAAACCATAAAGCTGATGCTCAAAATAGCTATGTAATGCAGGGGCTCATTGTATGTAATTATGTAAAACCAAGTCATTAATTTTTGCTTAATTCCATTTGTAGAGTTAATTATAGGAAATTTTCTGATTCCTTTGTTTAAGATTGGTGGATAGTAAAACTACTAGAAAATAAAATTACACATATACTTTATTGTAGAATAGGAATACATTTTTTTTCTTATCTGTAACATTTTTGTAAGCCATGATAATGCCCAGAAGATTAGAGACATGCTAGAAAAATCCATGCTCTCATCTGGGTTTATCTGAAGTTATAATAGGAAGGCTTTCTTTTCTTTTCTTTTCTTGGAGTTCATTTTTCTAGGATCCAACTTTATAAAAGAGAGATGTCTGTGTGAGCTCATTGCTTCTTTATAGCTCTATGTAGAAGATCATAATGTAAAATGCAGGATTTTATAGTGATTTCAGTTGTTATTACCTCAGGTACCTCATTAGTGAGATTGTCATACTCCACATGCATTGCTATAGGATTTAAAAGGGCCTTTTATTTTGCAGTGCAGTAATGGAAACATTAACTGAGAACCATAGAATGAATTGTCTGTTGGATTACTTATTTATTTATTTTATATAGTCGCTCACTCACTAGGCAACTCAGAGCAACTAGCAACTAGCAGCTGTTTCAACTAAAAACCTAAAGCATCTGCCAAAGACAATTCATACATTCAAACAATTGAATGTATGGATTTACCTAACATCCTCACCAGGTTATTGAGATTGGAGTCAATCTGTATAAATTTGAATTGTTCATAAGGTTATTTTGATATAAATATAAATAAATATCTTCTATAAAGTGTGCTCTGTTCTTTAATAGTACATTGAGAGATAGATGTTCTGTCTTACCAGTCATGGAACAAGATGCAAATGTTTACTGATTGGAGCAAAGTGCTGGAGACTCAGGGCATTCATCTCCTGGATCAGTTTAAAAAGTCCTTGGGAAACTGTTAGTTTTGATTCCCTCACATATAAAACAGAGATACTGATATTAATACAGACATCTTCCCAAAAGAATCACCAATCCATTTTGGAGGATGTTCAGCAAATAAAGGGATAGGCAGATGACAGCTGGCAGTTGACACAGTCCTGTTTTCAACTTAGCAGTGGGTCTTCGATTACAAAGTATTTTTTTAAGTTGATATTGTAGATAGAGTTTTATCCTCTCTGTAGATTAAACTGCCTTTTCTCTCTTAAATACTTTTTCTCTCTTACTCCCACACACAGTGGTTTGGTTTCATTATATTGTAAGCTTAAAATCTAGATGAAATTGTATCCATTAATCTTAGGAGGAAAAATAGTTGCCATTGAATTATTTCAGGAATCTTTACTACGGCAGGGTTTTTTTTTTGCAGTTAGTTTAGCTTTAATTAAATAACATTTACTTTTATTTAAATAAAGATGAATGGGACAAGATTTTAGCCTTAGTTCATGAGAACTTCAAGCTAGTTCAAAGTAGATCAGGGCAATCTTTTTTATTCAGTCTAAGATATCAAAAGTCAAATCTATGCATTTTATAACTATATACATTCAAAATTGTTCCAGGGAAAGACTTTTGATTGTAAAGGTAAGCCAATGCTCCTGCTGCTTCAGAGAATTGTTCTGTAATTTTCAGATTCTAGTTTTCCACATGCGAAGAATGCATTAAATGTAATTTAGATTTTGAAGTGCCATATAATTTAATTAGCTCTTGTTGTTTCATCTTGCTGTGCATATCTAAAACCCACTCTATATGACAGGAAATCTTTTAGAAATACATTTCAAACATAATTTCGAAAGTGATTAAAATTCTGCAGCCTCACTTTAAAAGTTGCAATTATATTTTCATTACCAAACAGGGACATTGCCAGTGCAATAAAGGAACTTCTCGATACAGTAAATAATGTCTTCAAGAAATACCAATACCAGAACCGGAGGGTACGTGAATTAATTTCTACTATAGTGCCTCATCAGAAATATAATTAAGTACAAGCCTTACAAGTATATGGAGCTTCATATTCGGTAATATGAATTGTAAACATCATTTTTCAATTAATACAAACTGGCAAATAAAAAGACAATCAGGATGATGAATAGAGATTTTTCAGTCTATGTGGATTTTTAATCAATAATGATTGCTTTAAGGTTTAATATGATTTTTTATTATACAAACATTAAGCAAAAGTTGCTTGTAGAAGCTCCTTTTCATTGTTTAAATGGTGAATTTTGCCCCTTCCAACATTTACTGTATTCCTTTTCTCATCTTGTTCTGTGTTCATTGGCTAAATCATAATGTTTGAGAAAAATGAAAATTTTAATTATTATTTACATAAATTTTTCAGGCACTTGAACACCAAAAGAAAGAATTTGTAAAATACTCCAAAAGTTTCAGTGACACTTTGAAAACTTATTTTAAAGATGGAAAGTAAGTATATATTTCTTTCAGTTGACTTAGTGACTATTTTCTTTCTTTTTTCTTTTTGCCTTAATAATGTGTACTCCAAAAAACATACTTTGCAACTTAACATCTTAATTGCTCCATTAGTTCCAGTTTAGCAAAGCATGAAAAAATGGCCAGATTGTAACATTTGCTTTTTAAACTTAGGCATCAATGAGTCTACTTAATTTTTAATTCTCCTTGGGAATCTACAGTATCACTGTTCTAATAGTAATTATAGTAGTAATTATGTTTTCTTTTTATTCTTGCTAAAAACAATCTTAGGGGGGGACACATTCCCTTGGGGACCCTTAACAGAAGGGGCGGAGACTTGCACTAATGCGGGCATGGATATCCATTGTCTCTGAAACCGTTTCTTGTTCTTTTCAACATCCTATTTTTGTCATCTCTCTGATACCTTTCTCTTATCCTACAAGGAAAGAAAATATATCACTTACTAGAGGCTGAAAATAACCTCTTATAGAGGGCTTTGGAAGTACACTAAAATTTCATGAAATTAAATCAAAGACCCTATGTTGATATATAGAGTAACACATTGTTCACTCTGTTGTAACATGAAACACATGGAATTTTCAAAATGGGAAAAGTCACAAAAGCATCAAGCATCCAACTCATCTACCAATTTTCATATTTATGATTGCTGTGACAAAACATTTTTAACAGTCAAATAAAAGAAGAGAAATAATAAATGGGATTTTTTTCCTTGTCTAGAAACAAAGATTATGCATATCAAAATGAATGACAAATTTCTATAGCTATAAAGTTGAGACTCTCTAGTTGATATAAACTTCTGGTGAATGTAAGGACATGTCTAGGAATGTAGAACTCTTTGAATCCAAACCTGAAAAAAGTGCTTTAGAGGGAATGTGCATGGATCTGTTGGCACATCCTTAAAGGAGATGTGGCTTTTCCTGGGCTTTAAAGAGTCATCAAGTGGTGTGGTATTACCCTTTCTTTTACCTTCCAATGGAAAGCACTTCACATTTCTAGACAGGTCTACGTGGTTTCTTGAGAATAATGTAGAGTTTACTATTGCCTTCTCCTATGGATTTTCTTTTTAATGGCTCAATCTAACCTATAGCCCCAGACTTATATTCTGGGGTCTCTAGTAATGCACTCTGACCCTGTGTTGTTTTTATGGGAATAGAGAAAGCTGGCTATGTGCTTGCTGCCTCCTATTAACTATAAGTAAATGGGATTTCCATAATAGAGAAATAATTTATCTTCAAAGTCTGATACTGCTGACAAAAGGGAGAACCACCGCTCACTTCTAAGTATGATAGCTGTTGCTTAGATACAGAATCACTGTGTGCTTCTGAATAACAATTGTTGGAGGAAAAAATCTGGAGAGGAAGAGTTGTATTTCGATTCAATTTTCAGATTTCCAAGGATCATCTGATTGGCCATAATTGGTAACAGGATATTGGGCTCATTCAACATGGTATATGTAGTAGTAGGACGTTTGTTTGGTTTGTATACAAATATGAGACCACCTGGAATTCCAGGAATTCCTAATGCTGCCAAGAAAGTTACATAGATATAGTCCCATGTACTCTGTGGGTATGAAAAAGAGGAGCATGTATAACAAAATCTATCTGTATCTCTTTTAAAGCAACAGAATGAAATCCATATTGGAAGCAGCTGAAGAACAATTTTATTTCTGTGTAGTGAGGAGAGAAAATCCCATCTGTTCTTTGACCTTGCTTGTGATCATTGTAGCTAGCTGAACAATGCTAATACTCCAAATGTCTCCAGGGTTTTTTTTTCTCCACTATTCCATTTATTTACCATTTATAATAAGACATTATTCTGAATTAATATGCATCCAAAGAATTATCTTTGTTTGCCCATGGATAAATATAAACAAAGAAAGAGAAGTAGATTGTGGGGTGGGGTTTTGTTTTCTCTTTTTTTTAATAGAATCATAGAGTTGGGAGGGGTCATTTAGTTCATTTATTTATGAATTTCAGTTCAGAAATTGAAATTAAACATCCCAAATAGGTGGCTATCTAGCCTCCACCTAGACACTGTCATCTCCGTTTAGGTAGCTTACTCCATTGTCAAAGTACTCTTAGTCTTAATATATAATTTAACTTTCTCTGACTTAAATAAGAAGTAACAGACTGCAACATTTTGTCCTCTAAAGTGCTATCATATCCCTCCTCAGTCATCTTTCATGAATGCTGAAATATTTAAAATATTTTTCTCCTTCAAATTCTCTTCAGTGGACTTAGTATCTAATCCCCTATTGTGTTACTCGTCTCCGAAGTTGTTTCAACTTTTTATGAGTGCAGGTAGTCCTCAGCTTATGAACTCTATTTTTGGCAAAGACCACCCATTTGGGAGAATGGGTTTGCACTTAATAGCTACAGCATTTGCTTATCAATCACAGATTTACTTAATGACCACTGTGATTTGCTTCACGAACATTGCAAAAAATGTTATAAAATTTGATCCAGTCATGTGGGTGCCTTGACATATAACCATAATGATTTAATAACCAGAAATCCGGTTCAGTTGCAGTTGTAAGTCAAGGACTACTGCTATACTTTTAACCCAGTCTTAAAGGGGAATCTGATTAGAGGTGAATAGAGTGGAATTATTATTTTCCATTATTTGGAAATTGATGCTGTCTAACATTGCATTTGCTGTCTTTGTAACCACATACATTGCTGATTCAGGTGCAGTTACAACTGTAGCACCAAAATCTTTGGTGCTGTTACCAAGCCAGGATCCCCCCTCCTATATTTGTGTATTCAGCGTATATTTTCTGAGTTAAGAACTTTGCATTTATCTCTGTTAAATTCTATTCTGTTACATACTACCCATTTCTACAACCTATCAATATTGTTTTCAATTTTAGTTCTGTATTCTAGCTGTCCCAATTTTGTATCATATACAAATTTGATAGGGATTTCTACCTCTTCACTCAAATCCTTAATGGAAGTATTAAGGGCCATATTTGATCTTTATGACATACCACCAGATATCACAGTCTAATTAGTTGTAAAACCATAGATGAGCATTTCTTGAGTATCATTTTCTAGGTCTAGGTATATATCTACTTAATTATTATGCTATCTAGCCCACACTTAAGTAACTTGCTGGTCAGCATGTCGTGGGGTACTCTTATCAAATGTTTTGGTCATGTCATGTTATGTGTATAACAATCTATTAAGGAATTTACCAAATTAACTAACAAGAAATGTTACATTGTTGAGAAATATGTGCTAGTTTCTAACAATTATTGAATTTTTTCAAGGAGACTACTTTTTATGATTTGTTTTAGGATTTCTACAGATATTGCTATCAGAATGATTGTTCTCTAGCAGCTGGATTTTCCTTTTACCTTTTTTTGAAAGTAGTAGTGATAGTTAGGAGTCAAAAGTGCTTTACTTTTTCTTTAGGATTTCTGAAACATCATATTTGAATTCAGAAAGACAATCCTCTAGTCCAGACATGTCAAACACAAGGTCTGGGGGCTGGATGCGGCCCGCGAAGTGGTTTCATGTGGCCCGCGAAGCCATCCTGGAAACAGTGAGGGAATGGCCCCCGCTGCCTTGGCCCTGACCCAGGCCAGCCGAGAGCCAATGTACAATTTTGTGATGGCCATCTTGGCACTTGCCCCGGTGGACCATGGCTTGGCATTTGCCCCAGTCCCACCCCCTTCTGCCAGAGACCCTCAGATCTGTCCCACTCCTGCCCAGGCCCCTACAGGCACCCTTGACGCAAGTGATGTAGAACTGGCCACACCCACTCCATCCACACCCACCCAGTAGGCTGCACCTACTCTGGCCACACCTACCCGGCCCCCAAAGGGCAACTGCAATGCTGATGCGGCCCTCAGTGAAATTGAGTTTGACACCCCTGCTCTAGTCCCTAAGTAAAACAGGATGTAATTAATCTCTTCCTACAGATTTATTTGGAAACAACTGAACCCCAGTGGATTTGAGTAGGTCTGCCTTTTCTTTGTTATTTAATAACATTTTACCTTTACTGGGCAGCTGGTCTATTAATTCTGTTTCCTTTTATTTTGAGCATATTTAAAGAAGTTATTTTTGTATGTGTTATTTTTAGTGCATTTTGTACCTTTTACCCTAATCTCAGTTGATTCTGAGTTTTTGATTTCCTGTATGTAGTTTATAGCTGTGCCAACTCTATAGTTCTGAGTCAGTTGTACTTTTTCTTCTTTTATGATGTGGATCTCTTTCAAGATAGATTTTAAAATGAACACCCTAATCTGGCTTTTCCTTGTGTAAATTTCATTCTAATATGAGTTGTGCCTTTAGGTCATCAGAATGTATTTCTTTGTTCTTTATCAATTTTAATTTCTGTCATTAGTTTTCCCCAAAGGAGAAAAAGTAGGTAATCTTATTCAAAATGTGTTTTGAAAAACTCTTTGGAATCGAACTTATTTGAATTTGTATAAATGTTATATTTGTATATAATTCTTCTTTTGATTGAAAAGGTAATATAGACAACAAGCTGATGCCTCAGATGTCTCTTTTCCATCCCCTTCAAAATCTTGTTATAATTGTTACTGATTTGTTATAATTATCAAACTCTGTCCTAACATTATATCCTTAATGTAACAGAAGAGGCAAGTGATTAACAAGTTGTGGAGTAATCATCTTCACTACAGCTGATAAATTTCTTTCATCAAGTGTATGTTACTCATCAGCCCAGAAAACATGAGCATTTTCAGTCAATATTGCACAAATTTTACCAATTTACTATTATGCAACAAGATTCAGTCATAACTAGGATCACTTTAGTAGGAACTCAATTGATTTACAAGCGAATGGTATGTACCGATAGAAAAGAATATTTGTAGTTGAGGGTTGAACTGTGGGGTCCTTGAGCAATCTGAGCTCAGCACTAATGATGTTACCTAGCTGGGTAATGAAATGTCTGCAAGAAAACCACCAAGTTCAGAGAGCACCAAGGATCCCACGGGTATACTTGTATTCAGAAACAATGCCCATTGAATTCATTTACCCGGTGAGTAAGTATAGGATTGCAACTTGGTTCTGTAACTACAACATTTAATTTTGTATTGTGATTTAACTGTTAGGGTTTAATAAAGAATTCAATATTTTTTTCATTTAAGAAAATACCTCTAATTATTTTCAGAGTTAGACTATTAAAAAAAACCTTCAACCAGAATTTCATATTGTTGAACTTCCTTTGTGAAATACCTGTTGCATATTTAAGTATTGCACTCCAGAAGCAGTGTATGGGATTTGATTGTAAAAATTAATTGTATTTGATATGATGGCTTTCTAATCTGTATAAGCTTATCTTGTTGCTAAAATATATCTTCTTTCTGTTTTTCTTTACAATAGGGCAATAAATGTGTTCATAAGTGCCAACCGACTAATTCATCAAACTAACTTGATACTCCAGACCTTCAAAACTGTGGCCTGAAAAAAAAACTGTATATGTTGAGAGCTGTACTTTTCAATGACGGATAGGATACCTTTATATGTAAACTTTAAAGTTTTGACTGTGTAAATTATCAATCCCAATTGAAGGGACTTAATGCAGGATTTTGAATGGGATTTATTGCCATCTTACACCATATTTTTGTAAAAACATAGCTTAATCATAATCACACAATGAAGATTTTGCATCACTTTTTTGCTATTATTCTTTTCAGAATTATAAGCCAAAAGAATTTACGCCTTAATGTGTCATTATGTAACATTCCTTATAAGAACTGTAAATATTTGGTGTTCCGTTTCTGACATTTTAACTTGAAAGCGAAAAACTGCAACAGAATTATGTATTTAACAATATTGGTGGCAAATATTCAATAAATAGTTTACATCTGTTTATCTCTATAATTTTATCCCATAATGGTGTCCTTGAAGCTAAAATCGGGGAGATATACATATGTCTTCAGAGTTCATACAAAGAATGATGTCCTTTTAAGAAGATTGAATCTTAGACAGCATCTTCAAAGTTTCCTGCACAGAAATTCACTCTAACTACTGAATCTTTCCTTCAAAGCTTGATTTTTTTTCAGATTATTTTTAGAGTAAATTATTATATTACCAAAGAACTCATCATTAGAGGTGGCGTGAACTGCAGGACCTCTTTGGGGAATAATAATTTGACCATGGTGTACTAATTTAGCTGCACCGAAGATTAAGAAATTACTTTTGTTAACATAAATATTCGGGTGGGAATATCTCTAGCATTTGGCAATGTAACAAAAGCAAAAGTGGAGTTTGCCCAAAGGAGTTTGGCATTTAATTCTGATAACAGAAACCAGTGAAGGAAAGACAGGTGAAGATAACATGCAGGCTACCCATATCACTGTGCTAGAAATTATATTTAATAAAATATTGCAGTTATATCAATGCAAGAGATCAAGTCTATTCATTTGTGCAATGGTGCTATTTAATATGCATGTTTAAATTGTTTAATATCTATGCTTTTTAATATTAATATAACAATTTAAATGATCACTACTGCAAGCTGTCATGATAGGGCAACTGATTTCCAATAGAAATTCATTTGTTGTACAGCTGTTATGCTAGGATCTCCTTTTTACAATTGTCTTTGTGAACAACTTATCTATGTTGTGATCATGTGTTTGCATCACTTTTTTTCTCTCTTTTCACCACTATTTCGACAAGAACAATAAGAAGGATCTTTTGCAATGTCTTAGTTAAGCATTGGTTATACAACTCTTTTTAGTAGAGTTTTTTGTAACAGAAAAATATTCAGCATCATGTACAGGTAGTCTTTAACTTATGACATGATTGAGCCCAAAATGTAAGAATGGTGGTGGAAAAGCAGGTAACCACGCGACCTGACCTGACTTTACGACTGCATCTTGGCTTCCCCCAGCGGGATTGTTAAGGGATCGTGCATGTTGTGATGGAGCTGAAGAACTCCCTTCCAAAGGGAGTCAGGCAGCTCTCTCAAAGAAGCTGAGCAAAAGAGTCCATTTTCACCCAGCCTCTTTGATAGCAAAAACATTGTGTGCCAGAGATATTCTGCCCTGCAAAAGAGGACCTTCTTGGTGGTGGCCTCTTCTCTGTGGAACATATTCCCTCCGAAGTACAACCCTGCTACTTTTTCAAAAGGCCATGAAGACCTGGTTTTGTCAGTGACCACAAATGGAGATCAAGCTGATCAAGTGGTGGTGGATTTGATTGTGTTGCTGCCATCAGGTGGGGTTTTATTGGTTTTTATGTTGTGGGTTTTTAATGTAAGCCACGTGGGTTGGGCATCCATATAAATAATAAATTATTTAGTAAATAATAAATAAATCTGGCTGCCAATTTTAGCCATAATGTCATCCCTGCTTCTTCCAGGACATCTTCAGTTTGTCAGGTCCTCACCGCAAGTCACTCTCTTTGAACTTGGTTCTCATTTCACAGACATGTTATTGTAATACAAAGTATGGTTTGGTGACTCTGTAACAGTTGTCCTGCCAGCCTTGGCTTGTATAAGTATTGTGTTTTCTTGATCACAGTATTTTTGCTAATCTAATGCTAGTTCATCTTATCTGGGTATTGGTTAATAGGTATATGATAAGGAAGAATGTGTTCAGGGCTTCTGAAATTATGATGTTAAATTTCAGCAACACAAAGGCAATTCAGCAATTCAGCAATGCGATTTCGGCTGCCAAATATAAATAACACCTTCTAAAGACTCCCTGTAGTTTTTATTCAAATTCCACTGCCTACCACCAGCCATATTTTTTTCCTAAGAGAGGTTTTACAGATGATCAGTAATATTCAACTCTGGGGACTATGAAGGCTACTCCAAAACCATTTTTCCTGCAAGGATTTCATGGTTGTTTTCGAAATTTATCTTCAGTCTTGCTAAAATATCTAGCCTCTTTGCAGCTTCAATTTCTTTACTGATAGTCAAACATTAGCTAGAGAAAATGTACAGAAGCTGTTGTTTCTGCCAAAGGAGGTGTTACAAAGTCTAATTGAAAGAGCAACTAAACTTTGGCATCAAGCGGCGTCATTTTTTCATAGCTTGAACAACTGTCCATTAATAATAAGTATTGTACACATTTAAATTTGCTCACAAAAGTGGTGTTTTAACTTTACACCATGTAGAAGTTGTGTCTGGTTCAGTAGAATATAATTTGGCCTAAAATTACACTCAATCATTCAGGCATGGTGGCAATAGTGAATTCTATTACAGACAGTCCTTGACTTAACGATCACAATTGAGTTCAAAATTTCCATTGCTAAGCAAGACAGCTAAATGAGCTTTGTCCTATTTTACGACCTTTCTTGCCACAAGTGTTAAATGAATCGCTACAGTTGTTAAGTTAATAATAGGGTTGTTAAGTGAATCTGGCTTCTCCATTGACTTTGCTTGTCGAGGGCCACAAAAGGTGATCACATGACCCCGGGACACTGTAACAGTTATAAATATGAGTTGGTTGCCAAGCGTCTGAATTTTGATCACAGGATGATGGAGATGCTGCAATGAGAAACTATCTTAAGTCACTTTTTTCAGTGCCGTTTTAACTTCAAATGGTCATTAAACAAATGGTTGTATGTCAGAAGTTGCCTGATGTTAACTAGGTTCAACCTCATCACGTTAAACCATTCCATAGTTGTTCACTTTGTATGTGTAAACCTAGCTTTCTCTGACTGACTGCCGTATCACCTCCGTAGCTACAGGTGGTCCTTGATACAGAGCAGATGGAAGCTTTATCCTAACAAATTTATACAAATTATACAAACTTCTGTATTGCTCTTTACCAAAACTGATTGGATTTTTTTATTTCACGGGGATGCAGCACAGGCACTCATTGTAAAGCTGTGATATTTTCTATATATCCTTGGATTATTCTCAGCAACAGGAGAAATTGACCACAGCTCTTGACTTCAGAACAAAAACAAACAAAAAAGCCTAAGGGTTAAGAATCATGGGGTCCCTCTGTAGCAGTCACGTTTCTACACACAATGACTGCTACAGAGGGACTCCATGATTCTTAATAGAATGTAAGATGTCTAAAATAGGATAAGATCAAAGCATTCTGTTTTACTTGAATTGTAGCCATCAAAAGGCAGCTAGATCCTTGTACATGCTCAGACTCTGTGTGAGCATCTTTATTTTTGCAAATGCCAAAATTTCGATTCAGCTAATCCTGCTTCTGCAGTGCCTAATTGACTTCCCAACTGATGTTTATTCCGTAGAAGGTCCCTGTGTGATCTATGCTGTTTCCTGTCAGGGAAATGTGCATAAGAGAATTTTCCTCAAGCATGAACAGATTATGTAACTGAAGAGAGAAGATTCTTGAATTAGATAGAACATTCCCAACGGAGCTACAGAGTATCATGTCTTTGGTTCCACATTTTGATTAAAAAGCTAGTGAAAAAATTGCCTTTGATCAACAATTATATATGTTTTAGAGCTGTAAAACTGAGTTAAAATTGAACTCTACAGAAATTAGGGAGTTTTTATAGATGGCCTAAATCCTTCTGTTTAGGACATTGTTTCTCAACCTTAAGATATGTGGATATGTGGATTTCATTTCTCCATTCTGGCTGGAGAATTCTGGGAGCTGAAGTCCACACATCTTAAACTTGTTGAGATTGAGAAATGCTGGTTTAGTATACATTCAGTATGAACTTTTAACTCCATTCAATCATGTCTGATTCTTAGAAATGGACACGTCCTTGCAGTTTTCTTGGCAAGGTTTTTAGAAGTGAATTGCTATTTCCTCTTTCTTAGGGCTGAGAAAAAGTGATTGGTCCAAGGTCACCCAGCTGGATTTGTGCCTAAGGTGGAACTAGAACGCACAGCCTCTAGTTTCTAGCTTATGCCTTAACCACTAACCAAGTTAGCTCTCATGAACTATAGTTAAGAAAAATATTTAACCTTAAGATTGAAGGCACGTTATGGGATTCTTTTGCTGCTGAAGCATATTAGGCGACTGCTCTGGAATGATCTTACCAAGTGGGAATCCCCAACTCTGAAAAACCTTTGTTGGTGCCCCCTTTATTGTGCTTTAAGCAAATATTTTATTCTCCCTAGTTTTTTTAATAGTTGTGCTGCAGTGCAGGTTTTTAATTAATTTTATTTTCGCTGTTCGATTTTTTTGCTGCTTGGAAATTATTACAGGTTTATATGTTACCTCTTTATATTAAATATTTAGATTGTGATCTTAAATGTTTTATAAGAAGTTATTTTACATAAATTATGAAGGGTAATACACACATACACACATTGTTATTTTTATTAAATGTCTTAATATTATCAGTATGAAAGATCCAGTTTTTATAACAAAGGTCTCAAATTATACATATGTTATTCTTTCTCCTTTTTGATCCTCAATTCTCTAAATTTGTTTGTGTTTAGGGGGAAAACCTGTTTAATTGCTAAGACAAAGAATAGCAGAGTTGTGGATTCTATTGTCCATTATGAAAAGCAAAGTGTGTCTGTCCTGCTAGTAGTAATTAGCATGTAGTAGTATGCACAGTTAACTAGTTCTGAAATAAAATGCAGAAAATGAAATGGACAGGATAAGGAATGTTCTTAGATGATGCATTATGCCCAAGCATCTTGGTGAGAGGAGTTATTTGAAGTAATGGTGCCTGTAGGATTCTATCAATGGATTCTTTTGGATTCTATCAATATATTTATTAGAGGAAGGCTGTGCTTTTTAGCTGTGTTAGACTACTTTAAATTCTGCAGTACGTACAGCCTTTATTTCAAGGGTGGGCACCTGGGACTATATACAGTACACGCTTCCGTGCCTTTGTTCAGTCTCAAAGTTCCTCTGAAGCTTATTTAATTCAATAGTAACATTTCAAAGCAAATTGCTGTTTAAGGAAAACATAACTTTTAAAAATGTATTAACTTTAGTGAGCCAATCTTTTGTGGGAAGGATATTTTTTCCCTACGAGTTTTAATTTTAATAATATAGGAGCCCTTTCATTCATTTTGCTGAATGAAATTCTGGGTGTTCCTCTTCCAGAATCCTGCACTGCTTTGAAGTTCATCACTGGTGTCAAGTTTTTGTGGTTCTTGGAGATCTAATGTTGATTACATTTAGTTGCAATGTACGTTTCAGACTTCTCCCAACTCCAGCTTTTGGTTCTGATAGAAAGCAAATTCCAGCATAATACTTAATGCGAAGATAATCTTCAGGTTTTTATTGCATCCACTCTCTTTATCTATGGATGTATTGTACTGCAAGCAGGTGCATTAAGGTGCTTATGAATGTTGCACTCTTATTAAGTGCATCACACATTAATAAGCATACAAAAAGCAGACACTCCCCTTCATTCTGCCCAAGTCCTTTAAGTTTTTTTTAAAAAAACAAAACAAAATACTGATTTGGTTACATTGTTGTGTCTTGCTTTGAAAGTCCTTGCTAAGAA